ATTTTTTCATCTCTCCGTGTAATTTTCGTTCATGTTATCTTCAAAGTTTTTAGTTCTATTTTCAATATATCAAAATTTTCGAATCACGTCACTACTAAATACCACACTTTCCTCTTCATGCAAAATTTCTCCTTTCTAAATTCATACAATCTACCTTCGTCTTTAAAGATGTGTTTTTGTAATTATAGGAAGAACGTGAGGGAAACATTTAAACTTTTTCTTTTTCCTATTAACAAACCTTTAACACTAAGATACGTTCACGTCATAAAAAAATAATTTTTTTTTGATTGTCAAATCCTCAATCCACTATTTTATTTCAATTAACAAGTATAACTTAACTAATTAGTTTAGTCTATTATCATCTATCAAAAAGTTGTGGGTTGGAATTACCTTTATTTCAATTACATTATTGAGTATAAATTTAACTAAGTTACATGATAAATTTAAAATCATTAAAACATTAGAGACAAAGTTTTTTGGCAATTACAAAGCAAGCGGTAATTGACATATATCTCCAACTATGAGGCTATGAGTTCGTTCCCCTCCCCATATGTTATATAAAAAAAAAAGATTTTTTTGGCAATTAAATTATGTACATTAAAACAATTCAAAATTACAATAAAATATTTTTTAAAAAAACATGAGCTACCATATAAATCTTTGCAGCCCACAATGTAGCGACCCATATTCTTCTTGGCTGGGCCGTTATATTTTGGTCCAGCAAACTTTGGAATAAATTGGCCCAAAAGTAACGACTAATAGACCCTTGGAACAATATTAAAAGGGAATTTCCTAGTTGCACTCTCTTTATCAATAATAACCCTTATAAGCTTCGTTGAGTTATAATTATAAAGTCAAATTTTTTTAGTACAATTATAAAGTCAATTTATTCTATATCCCCCTTTTTTTTGTAGAAGGACGGATTTTGATTAAGGGGAGAAAACACTACCTGAACTATAGATTGAAAGGTATCACCCTCCACATAATTCAACAAGATAAAAAATTAGATTGTCAAAAAAAAAAACATAATTGATATATACTAATTACCGTTGAATTTTGACATCTTTAAGACATCTTTATCCTTTTTATAATCAACTTGAATTCAAAAGCAATCTCATATCGAATAACGGATAACTTTAATGTCAAACATACCTTCACAGTAAAAGTTGAATCTATACCATATGATCTGTTTACAGTTTTTCTTGAAAGGTTGGCTCGCTCAATATTTATTTATGTAACAGGCAAAAAATTATTCTCAAAAGTTTATGTCACGTGATGTTATTCAAACCAAAGCAAATGGAAAAAGAAAAAAAAAAGGTTGCAGAGGGAGAGTCAACCCAGAATCCCCCATATTCAATTCTGCTCTAATTGGAACAACACACAAAAACGCGTTCTTCGTTTTTGAAATTATGACAGTCAAATTTATGTGCCTCTGGTTGGAACAAGAACAACCGAAAACAATAACAGCAATGACAAAGTCCAACCTGTCCCACCACTACCAAATAAAATAAAAATAAAATCTTTTCCTTTTCTTTTTAAAATTTTCAAGGAAAAATGAAAAAGAGGGATAAATGAACAAACAAAACAAAACCCAAATCATAAAGATCGTTTTCTGAACTCCCCAAGGGAGTAATGGAAATTTTCAACTGAAAGCGAAGTAGTAATTCCTTGGGGGTTCATCTTCTCTGCCCCATCCTCTCCTTCAGTGATGAAAGATCCCTTCGCCTCTCAGACCACCGCCGCCGGCACAGCTACTTCAACTTCAAGCATGGACGCTTTGACCGCCACACTTTCCAATTCCATCCAAGCTTTAGGGCGTGGCTTCGATGTCACCGCCGATATTCGCCTTCTCTACTGCAAAGGAACACCTGGGTCGAGGTTGATTCAGCTCGATGATGCCCATACCAGGGATCTAGTTTTGACTGATGGGGTTATGGTTCCCAATGTGCCTGATGATATTCAGTGTTCTTCAGATAACAGGGCAACCGAAAACGTCCCCGTTTGCACCTTCCACAAGGTCATTTTGGAGCTCTTCTTTCTATTGGTCCTTTTTTTGGCTTTCTTCTGATCAACCCTTTTCATCCCTTCTTGTATTTGCCCTCCTGAATGCTTATTGCTTCAGTTTTTTTCTCCCTCTCCAGCTTGTTTGCATCTGATACTTGAATCCTTACAATTTTGGGACTTGCACTTCTTGATCTCTACTCTACTGCTGTTGTTTTTTTCCTTTTTCCTGTACATATATGATTCTGTCAATCTTTACAGTTTGTGGTCTGATTTTTGATGATCTTGTATGAGTATAAGTTCTTCGATTAACCCAATGACTCATTCTTACAGCTTTATCATTATGTTTAATTAATTTTGTTGCTGTCCTTATAGAGTGTATTAAAGCACAAGCTTGGTATAACTATTAAGAGTACATTATGAAAATTATTTTTGAAATCATTGTAAGTTTGCAACTTGATCAATGTCTGATAGGCGGATACAGTAAAAGAGATCAAATCGGGTATTTGACAAGCTTGAAATGAAGTTAAAGGTTCAAACCCTAAGTTCAAGCAGCTCTGTGAATAATGTTGGTGCATTTTTCAGACTTGATTTTGCTACTGAGTTGTGAAAGTTACGCCCAACAGTTTTTTGATTTATTTTTGGAGGAAGCTTTCTGCTTTGTACTTAGTTTTAAATTTGACTGGGTAATTAATATCAATGAGGTCCATGTGGAAGCCTATTGAAAAAGAAAGGGCTCTTAATCTGAAGTTCAAATGCGTAATGTGTTGCATTGATACTTCAACTTTCAGATGGCAGAATACTTCAACCAGAAATCGGGTATATCAGGCAACATTCCACTTGGAAGCTTCGATGCCATGTTCAATTTCAGTGGTTCTTGGCAAGTTGACGCTGCAGCTACAAAATCACTTGCTATGGTTGGATATTTGATTCCTCTCTTTAAAGTTGAATTGAAAAACTCAAATTTAGTTTTGCGGGAGGATATCAAGCGTGCTGTGCCGTATACATGGGATCCTGTGTCCTTGGCTAGGTAAGCCGTCCATTCTTGTCTGCGATTGGATGTGCTGTGCTCAAAATTCATTTCATGGGAGGGATTAAGTTCGAAGCAGAACACTTCATCTTCCAGATAAAACTTAAGTCTGCATCACTTTTTAAATATTTTTGAGTCATGAGACAATGCATCTTGCCTGGTAGAAATAATTTGCATTTATACCCTCCTCGCGTGAAAGGCTGCCTTGCATGTGAAAGAATGACTTAATGACTGTAAAATAGGAAGTGAACACTTTCATTAAGGACCTTAATCATGCTTTGAGTGATGAGTAAATAATTCAATATTTTGGTGTAGTGGTGATGTTTTTGTCTTCCTTCCTATTTCAAAAGTATTTTATTATAGACACCTAGATGACTCAAGTCATGATCAATTTTTATCACAGTCCGATCTTTTGAGAAGGTAACATACTTTATATAACATAAAGGAAAGTATGTGTCATGATCAATTTTTATCACAGTCCCATCTTTTGAGAAGGTAACATACTTTATATAACATAAAGGAAAGTATGTGTATCCTCTAACCTTTATCATGTAGTTTTGGCAAATACGTTTTACACTGAACGCTTAACCCCTGTAAATTTTTAGAGGTTAGGGTGAGGTTAAGGTAAGTTGGTCCTCTGTATCTGCGCTTGCAAGTTTCATAAGTAGTGGTGACTTGAAAATAATTTATAACTAGGATTTCTTTTCCTTCATCAGTTTTATTGAAAATTTTGGTACGCATATCATTACATCAGCGACAATTGGTGGAAGAGATGTGGTATACATCAGGCAACACCAGTCATCTCCTTTGTCAGAGTCCGAGATTGAGCACTACGTGAAAGAGGTTGGGGAACAGCGATTTCTTGACTCCAAAAGTCAGTCAACTGTTGGCCCCTTGAGTTACAAGGATAAGGTTAGTAGTAAACAATCATTTTTATGAAGCAATTGTTTCACTGTCAAGTTGCAGTGTATATCTTGGGACCTCAATGAACTATAGTAAACCGTTCCTTCTGTTAACTTGAGTCTAAAGAAGAAAAAATTTCATGATGTCCGGTTTCTTGCAGGATGTTACTGTAATTTTTAGGAGAAGAGGTGGTGATGATCTTGTTCAGAGTCATGCCAAATGGGCAGACACTGTAAAGACGGCTCCAGATGTGATTAACATGACATTTACCCCCATCGTCTCCATGCTTGAAGGAGTGCCTGGTGTGAAGCACTTAGCCCGTGCTATTGACCTATATTTGGAATGTAAGTGCACTTCTATCAGTCTTAACAAATAAAGGAGAAGTACAAACCTGCTTGGAAATATGTTTTGGTGGCAGCAGACTGATTCTATTTTTTCCTCTCTTGTTGGGGGATGGCTTATCCTCCTCATAAGTTGTATTAGATGTTCGAAAAGGGTCAAATTTACCACTTCCCTTTCCCTCTTTTGACATTTTAAGAAAAAGAAGTAATGTTTTCAATAAAAGTAAGAGTAACTTATTCTACATGAAATTCACTAGAACACTGTAAATATTAAATATTTGCTCGTGCATTGTGTAGGCGTTAGTTAATGCTGCTTGATATGAATACCTTGCTTTTTGTTCCAACATTTTAGTTAAATAGCTGAACCTTTGTTATCCTAACAGACAAGCCTCCGATCGAGGATCTGCAGTACTTTTTGGATTTTCAAATTGGTAGGGCATGGGCTCCTGAACAAACTAACCTGCAAAGAAAAGAGCCCTTGTGTCCATCACTTCAGTTCAGCTTGATGGGTCCGAAGCTTTATATTAGCCCAGATCAGGTATTCTCCATCTCCTTAATTCTACTGCCTTCAAAATGAGTTTGACCTTGTTTCTAAATCAGATGGGGTTCTGCTGATGAAGTATTGGTATGAAAAATAATACTCTTGCATTTTTGGACAGTAAAAGTTTAAGGTGCTTCCATGGTAACAGAGTCGGTGATGTAGGGAAGTCAAAATTTACTAATAGCGTTCATAAATGGTTGTATTTTGCATTAAATGTTTGTGTTTTAGACACTAATATAAATATCTTCTTGGGAAAAGCTGTAACTTTTCTTTCTCAATCCAGTTCCATAACATGCTCTATTTCACTCTATCTTATTAATCACCCCCTATTATTGCAGATTACTGTTGGCCGTAAACCAGTAACTGGTCTTCGGCTTAACCTCGAAGGCTGCAAGCAGAACCGACTCGCTATCCATCTGCAACATCTTGTGTCGCTGCCAAAGATTCTCCAACCCCATTGGGACTCACATGTCGCCATAGGTGCCCCAAAATGGCATGGCCCTGAGGAGCAGGACAGCCGGTGGTTTGAACCCATCAAGTGGAAGAACTTCTCACATGTAAGCACCGCGCCTATAGAGTACACAGAAGCCAACATTGGAGACTTGTCTGGTGTTCACATTGTAACTGGAGCGCAGCTCGGTGTTTGGGACTTCGGTGCGAAAAACGTATTATATCTAAAACTTCTCTTCTCAAAGGTACCTGGCTGCACGATTCGGCGATCAGTCTGGGATCATAGTCCCTCCATCCCTGCTACACCACTGAGATCTGATGGTGCCTCGTCATCTTCTAAAACAAGAACTTCTGAAGATAAAAAGGAAGACAGTTCAAGTAATGCAGGAAAACTCGCAAAAATTGTCGATTTGACTGAAATGTCAAAGGGACCCCAGGATATTCCAGGTCATTGGTTGGTTACTGGGGCTAAGCTTGGGGTCGACAAGGGAAGGATAGTATTGCGCATCAAGTACTCGTTGCTGAACTACTGATCATCGATCCTTCTTCGGTTTTCCCTTTACGAACTAGAAACAAAAGTTGAGCATTTTTTGCACAGGAATTCATGTGTTCTTTTATTCCTCCTCTTCCTACATTGTACATCTTATTAGTTTAGTTTGTAGCCATTTTTTCCTTTTGTTGATTGTCACAATCATTAAATTATAGTCATTCTCTTGCTGCATTAATCACAGTTCTTGTTAGAGGACAATGGCTTTACTGCAAATTGATAATCAAAAGTAGGATTAGAACACCATTTTCTATTTTTATTATTATTCTCTTTTATGAAACATGGATATACTGTTAGAAGGGCACAACAACCTCTAAGTATACCCCAACTCAAACTCTATTATAAGAAGAATATTGTGATAATTATAGTAGCCTGTCCTTTTTTCTGTCTTCAAAAAGAGCTTTTAACTAAATAAAATTATTTAATGAAATTTTTATGATTGTTGTATATAGTGCTTAATTTTTCAAAAATATATTTGAAAAGTTAGAAATACATAAAATCCAGCTTTTCATAAAATTGATTATTAGATAACACTTCCAAAACCTACAATTTTTTTTTTTTAAAACCATCTCTACAAGTTGTTTTTGTTTAAAACCTATTAATGTCATACCAAAATTATGTTTATAATTCATTGGGTGCACATGAGAAATTATCGCATAATTCTTCGAACAAAAATATATCATATTGTAAAAATTGCAATACTTCTTATTAAAATTTAAGATAGAGACTGCAATATTCATCTAAATTAAAATACAATTTGATGAAATTAGAAGTTTAGAGTAAAAATGGATACACAATACATAATACATAATAGGTTTTTATATGGTTGATGAGATATGTTCTAAGCCAGAATCCCACATTGATAGAATTGAAACTAAATCCTTTCTTTATAATACGGATTGCGAGACCATACATCGCCGAGCTCAGTAGTGAGGGCTTGTAACCCAAGCGGGGGCTTTAAAGTGGTTGAAACTTAGTTCGGCCCATCGGGTAGAGCTACAAGAGATTGTGTATTAGCCCGCCCGTTACAAGTAAAGAGTTGATCATTGGGCTTTGGGCGAAGGCCCAAAGTTTGATGGGCTTAGAGTGGAGGACACTGCGTGAGGCTGGTTTCACAGAGCAGCGTTCACCTCCCTCTCTTGTCGGTGGAAGGATAACGGGCTTATTCTCTTGGGCTCAACGGTACCCGCTGAGCAGTCCTCAGATAACAACCAATTTTTATTTTTTAATTTAAATAATATAAGCTTTTCCCTTTTTCAATTTTCAGGTTTATTAAAATCTTGCTAAATATATCAAAAGATTTTTTTTTTCGAGAATTAACTTCCATGTCACCTTAAAAATTATAAAATCATTATTTTTGGTATAAGATTAAAACCATCTTAAAACGCCTATGTCCTTTTTTCTCTAAAAATGGTGAGACTAAAATAGATTATTTTCAAAATCTAAAAAATGAAATTCATAATTTATCTCCCATCTAATTCATAATTTTTTGAATTAAAGAAAGTGTATTTTTTGAATTAATGAAATTCATAATTCATAACTAAAGAAAGTGTATTTATCTCCCATCTAATTCATAATTTTTTGAAAGCTACATTTTTTTCTTATTTTTTAATATTTGACAATGATTTTAAAACAATTTAAGGTGTAAATTTTAAAATAACCAAGAAAAGAGCAGCATAATTTTTTAAGATGGAAAATTAGGAACAAAATTAATTTTTTTTTTGAATATGTTCCTATTTCTTATTTCTAGTTTTTGAGAAACACGTCTTAGTGAATGTTATTGTTTATTGTTTTTTATCTCAAAATTGTATATACACATTTTGTAAGCAACAAAATCTAAACTATTATTTATGGTTCTGGCCTGTAACCAATTTTTCAAAGACATAGATAAAACTAATATTTTATCACTTTTTATTTAAAAAATGCACAATCAATATTAAATATAATGTTATAATTTTATTTATATTTAAATTTAAATTTTAAGAGGATAAGACATGAGAAATGTTATCAAACACTTCTTTTTTCCCCTTAGAAAAGGGGAAATTAGAAAAATAAACACAAAGTTAGAAACCAGAAATAAAAGAAATAACAGCAATACCAAATGAGTCCAAAATAATCCTTACTAACTAAAAAAGATTAAACCTGTGAAAAAAAAAAAAAGAACTACAAAATATTAAACTAAATACTCACCTACATAAACAACATATTCAATATAAAAGAGAACAAATATCATTGAGGTTGTAAACAGCAAAGCTAAATCATATTGTATAATTGTATGTACACTCCAAACATTAGACAATTCATGTGAGATCATGATTGGTTATGTCTTGTTTTGACTTGAATGTCTCCTTTTGTAACACCAACAAGATGTCATTTTGATGACATAATTCCAGACCCTACATTCCCACTCTCTCATATGTCTGTCTTTCGTCCGGCTAAATAGTAACAACCAAATCTTGTGTCCAACAAACAAACCCCTCTAAATGAGATCCTAGACTTTGTCAACCTCTACCTCATGATGCCAACCCTTTTGGACCATTACCAAATTGATTCTGCTTGTAATTTTGCATTTAGATGTACAAGTAATTGAAGCTTCCTTATCGACATCTTCGCGATGATCTATTTAATTATATGCTTACTAGAGTTCACTTTGAATGATTCAAATGACGAAGTTACTGTTGACATGAGACATGATGACTTGATCAAAATGAAACAAAAGTGCATGATGAAACAACAGAGCAAGGAAAGTGGAAAAGATCTTGAATATATAAGTAAAAGATCTTAACTACAATTAGTGCAGAAGCTTTTTGAATCTCAAAATAATGGAAACTTAGATTCACATAGACAATATCATACTATCGTGAAAAACAGAGAGACTCATTATCTCGACATAGCTGTATAAAAGTCGGCAACTGATTATAAACAAACAAAGTAGAGGCATGTTGCTTTCAGGAACAAAACTATCATCCGACGTCACACTACCTTCCCATGCAATAAGAAAGCCTTTATTATATATGCATATTAAACTGAATCATCGCTTGTAACTATTATCGAGTATACTGCCCCACGACACCAGTAGATCCTAGCAAAATTATATGGTATGCTTGATGTTGATCTCTTCATTTGAGTTCTAATTGAGTTCGATCAACCATTTTTGTTCCATTTGCTGATCTCGTAAGTTGCATAATTTAACTGCTTGTCGATTTCAATGCAGGAGAAGTTTGAGGTAGTTGAAGGAAAGGTGGACTGGAAGGCAAGATCAGCTTTCAAACACAAACATGGAGGAACCAGATCATCTTTTCTCATACTAGGTAGAAAAATCATTTGCTCATCAAGTTTTTCAAATGTAGTGCCAAACATATTCTAACATAACATGGGGGCCTATGAAGAAAAAGAAAGATGACAGAGCGAGCTTCATAGCTGGCTACACTCACACCCCTGCATTCCATTGTAATCACAACACAGTTCATGACAGTCTTGTTTTACCTTTTGGGTTTCTGTTGCAGTTGCATTTGGTTTCGAGAATCTGGCGAATTTTGCGCTTGCAGTGAACTTGATTACGTATTTCAATTCTGTGATGCACTTTGAACTAGCCGATGCGGCCAACCAGCTGACAAATTACTTGGGTACCGGTTACATTATCTCTATTCTGATGGCTATTCTCGCAGACACATACTTGGGCAGAGTCAAAACCGTCATCATTTCCGGCTGCCTCGAGTTTCTGGTCTGCCCAACTTCACTGGCTTCAGTTTGCCGCCCCCGCTACCTATTTCCCATTCCACCATATTCTAACTGCAACTGTTATTTCAGGCGCTAATATTGCTCATGATACAAGCTCACTACCCAAAGCTCAAGCCACCGCCTTGTAATATGTTTGATAAACAGTCCCACTGCGAGACAGTTGAAGGCGGAAACGCTGCCCTCCTCTATGTTGCTCTCTACATATTGGCCATTGGTACTGCAGGAATTAAGGCCGCATTACCATCACATCGTGCTGATCAATTTGATGAAAAGGACCCCAAGGAAGCAATGCAAATGTCCAGCTTCTTCAACCACCTCTTGCTCGGAGTGTGCCTCGGTGGTGCTGTTAGTTTAACTCTAATTGTGTGGATCCAAGACTATAAAGGTTGGGACTGGGGTTTAGGGGTATCTTCTGCAGCCATCTTCTTCAGCGTGGTCATATTTGTCGCTGGAATACCCCTGTATCGGATGCATATTATTTCTGGATCTAGTGCAATAGTCCAAATTCTACAGGTATGTATGTACGTATAACAGAGTAAAAGAAGAGTTTGAGGTTCCATTCTAAAGAATTTCATCCAAATACATTCTCACTTCTGTCCATACGAATGTTCTTTTCAGGTCTATGGTGCAGCCATTCGTAATAGAAACCTTGTTCTCCCTGAAGACTCTGCAGATCTCTATGAGACTGTCAGGGACAAGGAGGCTGCTACGGAAGAAGACTTTCTGCCTCATAGAAACATTTACAGGTTTTGTGTATTTGAACCTTCTGTTAATTTGGCAGTCCAACAATAGAATTAAACGTTCGGATAACCCACCAATATGTACAGGTTTCTAGACAAAGCGGCAATTCAACAAACACCTTCAGGGCAAGTTGAAACGCCCGAAGCTTCAAATCCTTGGAAATTATGCAGAGTCACCCAAGTAGAGAATGCGAAAATAATTCTGAGTATGGTACCAATATTCTGCTGCACAATTGTAATGACCCTCTGTTTGGCTCAGCTCCAAACCTTCTCCATCCAACAAGGGCTCACCATGGACACAAAACTCACCAATTCTTTCCACATCCCCCCCGCCTCGCTCCCCATCATCCCAGTCTCCTTCATCATCCTCATAGTTCCAATCTACGACAGGATTTTCGTACCTTTTGCGCGAAAGCTCACGGGCATCCCCACCGGAATCACCCACTTGCAACGAGTAGGGGTGGGATTGGTTCTGTCGAGCATGTCCATGGCCGTCGCGGCGCTAATGGAAGTGAAGCGCAAGGGCGTGGCGAGAGACCACAACATGCTGGACGCAACCCCTGTATCGCAGCCATTGCCAATCAGCACGTTCTGGCTATCCTTTCAGTTCTTCATATTCGGAATCGCAGATCTGTTCACGTACGTGGGACTTCTGGAATTCTTCTACTCCGAGGCGCCGAAAGCCCTGAAATCCGTGTCCACTTGCTTCCTGTGGAGTTCGATGGCCTTGGGCTACTTCTTGAGCACCATAGTTGTGAAGGTTGTGAACAGTGTTACGAAGGGGATTACAAGCAGTGGAGGCTGGTTGATTGGAAACAACATTAATCGGAACCATCTGAACCTCTTCTACTGGCTGCTTTCAATCTTGAGCTTGATCAACTTCTCGATCTATTTATTTGTTGCAAAGAGATACAAATACAGAAACCATAATAAGCCCGCCATCTCCGATGCTGACAATAGGAAGCCATGAGAGACAGGTTAAAAAACACTTTCTTCCTCCATTTAGCCCTCAACTTCGTTTCCAACCATTTAGTTCATGTGTAATTTTAAAGGTAATGACTTAGTTCACGAATTTTAGCAGTAATAATTTAATTCTGGTGTAAAATGTTTTTGTTAAAGTTTCTTATATATGTATAGATGATGGACCGATGGTCATGTCAATTATTGCTCAACTGGATATACTTTGACACATGTGTGTTTATATATTATAAAGAATAAATCTGTTATATGATAAAAATAGACACTTTTAAATGGAAACATATTTCAAAACTAAATTATTATAAATTTTAAACTACAACGAATAAATTGTCATCAATTTAAGAGTAGAAAGACTAAAATCGTTTCAAACAAAAGTTTGGAGACTATAAATTATTTTGTAGCAAGGTGTCTTTTAACCTATTATTTATTATTTTGGAAAATACTCTTGAAAGTTGGAATGGAGTTTTTTCTTATATTATTTTGGAAAATATTTAACTTTTTACTGGACTTATATATGATCCTAACCACTGACCGTTCATTATTTAAAATTTGTTACATTTCTCACTTAGTTTAAAATATTCTAAGTACAAGTATTATTAGTTGCTTTTTTGGTGAAGTTTTGAATTCTCAAATTGGAATATTGTAATATTATATTCTAAATTTTAAAAACTTCTTCCCATAAAACTTTAACTAATTATTTTAACTTTTAAATTCCTTGGGTAATTTTTAATTGGATTAATAGTATTTTAGAATTTTTAATTTTATTAATGAATTAAAAAATTGTTAAAAGAATGGTTAACAAAAAATGAATACACCATCAAATAATTGTTTTATTTTATTTATTTATTTTTTTGAAAAATAATAATTGTTTTATTAACTTAGGTAGACATACTTGCTAAATGCTATTTCCGTATAACATAGTTGCACACCATTAACTTTTGTACCTTTAAGAAAAAGGAATATGTATAAGATAGAATTTTTATTTTTTCAAAATAATAAACCTTTGAAGAAAACGAGTGGTGAACGGTGCAATATGAGAAGTATTGTTCTTAGCAAAATCCATTTTTTTTCTTAGCGGATTATGGTGTATAGTTAATTAAATTATTGTAATTTTATACAACCCAACTGAAATTTTTGAGACCATAAACATCAAATTAAATCCTTTTAAATTGAACCAAACTTTGAAATAGAAGTTAAAACAATGTGAAAAATGAATGAATATTCAAGAAACAATGTCAATAAAATGATTATTTGGCATATTGCATGAAACTGAATCCCCTAGGGTCAGCCACCTGGGTGCTACGTGCACCCGAACGTGGCTCCTTTTAATTCTCTCCTCATCTCATTATTATATATCATAATTATCCCACCGGAGGGAACCGCAGATATCAGAACCAGAGCAAGATGGACCAAGGCGCAGCAGCTCATCTGACGCAGCCGCAGCCACCGGGCGAGAAAATGAGGATGGGGCAGCAGCTGCTGGACAAAGGGGCTAAGATGATGCAATCGCTGAAGCCCGTGAAGCAGATCAGCCAGCACGCTTGCTCCTTTGCCCTCTACGCCCACGATCTCAGCCGTCAAATCGAGACCCACCATTACGTCTCCCGCGTCAACCAGGACTTCCTCCAGTGCGCCCTTTACGACTCCGACGCCTCCGACGCCCATCTCATCGGTCACCACCACCACATTAATTAATTTTCTCTATGCTCTTAAATTCTTAATTACAGAAGTTTGATTCTCTCTCTCGTTTTTCAGGCGTCGAATATATTGTGTCTGATGAAATATTCGAAACTCTGTCTCCAGATGAACAGAAGCTCTGGCATTCCCATGCATACGAGGTTAATTTTAATTTCTTCTTTAACAAATTAATAATTCAAATACCAAATACCAAAATTAGGCGTTAATTATTAGTTTCTAATTCTAATTTAAGGAACGGCGCAGATCAAATCAGGGCTGTTTGTTCAGCCACGCGTCCCGGAGATGGTAGCCAAGCCAGAACTGCAAAATCTAGCCAAAACCTACGGCAAATTCTGGTGCGCGTGGCAGGTGGATAGAGGTATATTATTATGTATCTATAGTTTTAAGTTAATTAAAACAAGTGAGATGGACGGCGGCCGGCCATTCATTTGTGGTATTTTTACACAGGTGACAAGCTGCCGCTGGGGGCTCCGGCGCTGATGATGTCGCCGCAAGCGGCGGATGGTGGGGTGGTGAAGGAGGAGCTGGTGCAGAAGAGGGACGACAAGTACAACATATCGACAGAGGCGATAAAGAAATCGAGAGTGGAGTTGGAGGAGCCGGAGTGGATCAATCCGCAGGCTGATTATTGGAAGCTGCACGATGGCAAGGGTTTCGCCGTTGATATTGTCGGCACTGAAATGAAGTTAAGGGCACCGCGTTTCCCGTGAGTGAGTCTCGTAGTCGCACAGTTTTTCGTTGTGTAAATAACAGCGCCAAAACTTTGGCATCTTCATTTTCAACTTTAGGATATAAGAAGGGAAAAAAAAGGGTAATTGGACGCTGAACGGTGAAATTATCGGAATAAACGAGGGAAATTTTTAAACGGCCATCCGGTAAGTGGAGGTGGTATTTGACCAGGATCCAGGATCCAGCGTGGCAAAAGATTGAAGAACTAAAAACTTGAAAGTGGCATTTTAATTATTCAACTTAATTACATGTCTGTGGAGCATATATTACGTGTCATACGTTAGTCAATCTACGTGGTCTTGAGGGTTTTTGGGGTTTGAGCATAGTAATTCGATTATTTAGGCTTCGATTATTGCATCATTTTTAAAATCAAAGAGCTGAAATTCTGAGTGAAAGACAGAAAAACGAAATGTCAAATGGGGCCTTAGCATCCCATTTTAAACTTCTCAAAATTTGAGAAGTTGAGAAATTTCACTATATTTGATAAAATTTTGAACTTTGTTTGATCTTCTACTAAAGTTTGACCTACAATGGACGAGGTGTCCCAAAATTAAAAGTACATGTGGAGGTTGTACCTACCAAACAAAGAAGTATTTCAACACTATTGCTCTCTCCTCCTTACAAGGCCGTTTTCAATAGAACCAAAGTTTGAGGTATACGAGTACCTATCAAGCTATGTGATAGGGTATCAAAGTTCGAAGTACCTTATCAAGCTATGTGATAGGGTACCAAAGTTCGAAGTACCTATCAAGGTGTACCTCGAAGTACCTACAAAGATATACCTACAAAGATATATCAGTAAAACTAGGGTACCAAAGTTCGAAGTACCTTATCAAACTATGTGATAGGGTACCAAAGTTCGAAGTACCTATCAAAGTGTACCTCGAAGTATCTACAAAGATATATCAGTAAAACAAAGGTATACCAGTAAAACAAAGGTGTATCTCAAAGTACCTATAAAGATATACCAGTAAAACAAAGTACTCTGTGCTTTCTCATCCCCACAAAGTTTTCTCATCCCCACAGTTTTCAACCGCACTCCCACAAAGTTTTCTCATCCCCACAGTTTTCAACCGCACTCCCACGACTCTTATGGATCATATGGAAATTAAAGCTCCTGGCAAAGGTTTAGAAGATAGAATATGGCTCAATTTGTCAACTTAGCGGAAATTAAAGCTCCTGGCAAAGGTTTAGAAGATAGAATATGGCTCAATTTGTCAACTTAGCAAAGGTCTAGAAGATAGAATATAGCTCAATTGTTCAACTGTAACTTGGTTTTCAGTATTTGATGTTGATACTTGACAGATGATCTCTCTAACTCATGATCTGATATATATAACTCATAATTTGATCATATATATGTTGCGATTTATTACTCATATATATGTTGCGATTTATTACTCAACTAATTTCATGTACATTTATTACTGAGCTAAGAGCTAAGTTCATGTTGGCAGGCGATGACAGGTGATCTCTCTAACTCATGATCTGATCATATATATATAACTCATGATCATATTTGATCATATATATGTGACGATTTACTACTGAATTAAATCATGTACATTTATTATTGAGCTAAGTTCATGTTGACAAACAATAAATAGCCTCTAACCTACCATATTTAAATATATACACATTTAATTTGATGCTATTTTTGAAATAGCTCAATAAAATTTACCAAATAGTTAATTTACTATATTATTTAATCAATTAATCTTTCACGGCTCACGCCTTTTTTTTCTTTAAGAAAAGGAAAAGCATATACTTTTATTCGATAGGAATAGAGTTGAATCCCCTCAATTACCCGTATGCATTGGCAATGCCGGTGGGATGGGATCGAGTGCCAAAATTTCCCCCTTTTTCCTGAGTACACGTGACCATAAGCCCGTAACCGAAGCAACTTAACAAATATCCATCCAGAACGACATGTCGACCAAGTGTTTTTTTCCCCTTCCTCAAGTCACAAACAATCACTGCTACTGCCATCGTCATCGTCCTCGAAATCAAAACCTCCCCAAAATTCTCACAACGGTTTGGTCAACGCCAATTGCTTTATCAAACAGAAATCGAACCCCAACTTTATCACTCCGTTGCATTTTCGGCTTCTCTTCTGATCTGCTCCGGCTCTGATGGCGAACCCAACCGAACAATCTGAAGAGCAGAAGAACGTGTATTCTGTGTGGGCTCTTCCTCCAGAAGATGTGGCTGTCAGAATCGAGACTCTGATGAGCGGCCTCAGATCCGAGTTCAGGGGGCCCCAATTCGAGCCACACATCACCGTCGTTGGGGCAATCCCTCTCACCCGAGACGACGCCCTCATCAAATTCCGCACCGCTTGCGAGGGGCGTAAGGCTTATCAAGCCACCGTCGATCATGTGGCCACTGGAACCTTCTTCTACCAGTGCGTTTTTCTCCTAATTCGTCCTACGCCTGAGGTGCATCTGCTTCCCCTCCTCCCTTCATCTTTCTGTTATCTGTTTGATTCTTCTCTCACTGCCCTTCTATTTCCAGGTCGTGGATATTAGTTCACACTGCTGCAGAATTTTTGGTTATAAGAACTCTACCCGTAAGCTATCTTGTATTCATTTGTGTTTTTTGTTTTGATATGTTTTATTCAAATTCGATGCATTATCTTCTTCAATGTTAGAATATACAACTTTATCAGAGACAATATAGCTTGTTGGTTGTTAAATCTAATCATGTATCATACCTTGGGGTTTTAAGGGTGCAAACAAAGTTACATTTGTTAGGGAAGGGAGTGGTCGAAGGACAATTATCATCTCCGTGAGGGTTATATCTGATTCGAGGCGAGATACAAATGACACTTTATTTTAGGGGAGGATTGTTGGGATCGTGAGGATTGTAAACAAACAAAGTTTCAATTGGGTAGAGAATGGAAGGATCTATGTTATATAGGTGATGACAATTATCTCTATTGATATGAAGTCTTTTTGGTGAACCACCAAAAAGCAAAGTTGGGGGGATTATGTTTAAAGTAGACAAGTATCTTTGGATACTGTTGTCCTTACCATCACATTCGATTCTAGGTACCTGACTAATTTTATAGCACAAGCATCCGGATATTACGACTTGACAAGCATGTTGATTGGCAAGTATCTCCAAAATGGTCTAAGGAGTTGAGTTGAGTTATCAGAAATAAACGTGAAAACATTACTTTTGTTAGTGTGTGTTGTCCAGTTTAGACGTTGAATTAATGTACCTTCTGATCTTCTTGTTTTACATCATTTATTTACAAACAAATTAACATCCATTCGAGATTGGCTACTGTTGCAACCTTGTGTAAATCGCTGAAATGATCTGATGGAAAAGAATAGAACAAAGAACTATGGTTTGTTTATATAAAGAAATAGAATAATGAAGTGTTAGCTAAACTAATAATATGAATGTGATCTCTGTATCAGCCTACATGCCGCATTTGAGCCTACTGTATGCGCACTTAACAGATGAAGAAAAGACGAAGGTGAAAGATATAGCGGACAAATTGGATGAAGGGATTACTGGCCTGAGCTTCCCAGTTACCCGACTTGCATTGTACAAAACAGACACCGAAGATGAAACTCTAGAGTCCTGGGAGAAAATTACTGAATACAATCTTCGTTTAAGTTAGCTTCCGATTCTGTTTCTGTTTTTGTTTTTGTTTTTGTTTGTCCCTTTTAAGAGTGTCCTGTTACTTGGTTTATCGTCTTTTCGACAATGTTTCTACTCCTGTAGACTTGTTAACTGATGAAAATAAAAGTTAGCCCAACCTGTTGTTGATATTGGAAAAATAACATTGTTTTTTAGATCTAAGGGATTGAAGGCCACGTCTGGAAGCTTGGTAATTAGGTTGTTATGAATCTCTTTTGTTTGGTAGAAAACAAGTTTGTAACATGAAGTTTGACAAATAAATTTGTGTTCCCTTCCTTCCCATTCACCCACGTGGGTGCTAAGTAGGAGTGGGCAAATAACTCTGAAAAATTTATCTGATTGACCAATTTTTCAGATTGACCAAAATCGACCAAAGATCGGCTTGATGAAAGATTTGATTGGAGAGTTTTTTAATTACATAACTGACTAGTTGGTCGGTCAGTTCGAACAATCATTTATGTTTTATTTTTTTAAAAATTTAAACCCTTGAAAACCCGCTAGCATTTAATGATCTTTTTTAATCTTTATTCGTTTTTTTCATTCTCCACTCATTCATCCACCTCATTCTTCTTCTTCACCTTCTTCATTATTCTTTTTCCCGTCTCTCGAATCGTTGATTCCCCAGGCCTCTACGTCTTTTTCTTATTCATTTCGCACAAAAGCCTGCCCATGATTTTGGCACCGGTGT